TGAAATAAAAATGTGTTACTAAATATATCTACTATTACGAATGCTCAGCTCAAGTCCACAGAGCCATGTTACAGATTAAAATTGATGTTTTCTAAATTTCAGCCATGCAAAGATTTTGAGCAACTCTGGTTGGACTGGAGCACAGTGTTCACATTAGACATGTTTAATTTACTGTGATGTTTTTAATGCACTGTTTTGACATTCCTTCACAGTAATTACAATACCTTCAGAATTATAACATACAAGTAAATCAAACAAGCAGGAATTTGGAGAAGCAGCACACTATGAAAAAATCAGAAAATAAGCAGCTATGGGTAAAGTTGCACTACGGTGCTACCATCGCTTCCATCCCCAGCAAGCCACCTACAAGGCAAAAAACATTAAAACATGTCATACAATCATAGAACCAGAGAAACATAGAATGTCTTGAATTGGAATGGACATTAAAGCTCATTTAGTTCTACTCCACTGCTGTGGGTTGGGCTGCCACCCACTAGAGTGGGCTGCCTAGAGCCCCATCCAACCTGGCCTTGAATGTCTCCAGGGATGGAGCATCCATGACTCTCTGGGCAGCCTATGCCCAGAATGCCTAAGAATTTTCTCTTAGCATCTAACCTAAATCTCCCATATTTTAGTTTAAAACTGCTCCCCCTTGTCTTATCAGACTATGTAAAGTGTGAGCTTCTGCTTTTTTTATAAGCTCCCTTTAAGCACTGAAAGACCTTTAAGTACTGAGCTTTCCCTAGAGCCTTCTCTTCTGCAGGCTGAAAAAAAAAAAAACAACAAAACAAACAAACAAACAAACAAAAAACCAGCTTCCTCAGCCTTTCTTTGTAGGAGAAGTGCTCCCTCACTTTGCTCTTCCAGACAGAATCCCTATATTCTTCCCATACCAACAATTTCTTCTTTCACTGCCTGAACATTTATGGAATTTGCCCATTAGGTCATTACTCAGCCATGACATTTTCCTGCCTTCCTTCTATATTTCTTACATATATGCATGGAGAGCTCTTGTACTCTAAGAAAAGTATCCTTAAAGAGTTGCAGAGTTGCCAGCTCTGCTCCATTCTTTTGTCCCTGACCTGTTCCTTTGTCCCTAAAGACAGCTTCCCAGGGGATCCCTCCCACTAATTTCTTAAACAGAATTTTGCTCTTCTGAAATTTAAGATCTTGACTTTGCTTTTTGCCAGTCCTTAATCCTTGAGATCATGAACTCAACCAGAGCATGATTGGTACAACCCAGACTGCCTTCAGTCTTAAGCTCTTCAATGATATCTGCATTGGTGAGCACCAGGTCCAGTAACATTTCTCTTCTGGATGGTTTGTCTAATACCTGGACCAGGAAGTTATCCTCAGTGCACTCCAGGAGTCTCCTGAATTGCTTACAACCCACTGTATTTCTTTCCCAGCAGAAAATGGATAGTTGAAAATTTTCATCAGTGTGAGTGCCTGAGAGTGTGATGCTTCTTGTAGCTGAAGCAAGAAGTCCTCATCAACAAGCTCCCCTTGATGAGGCAGTCTGTAGAAGACATTAACCATCAGATGCCCTTTATTAGACCAATCTCTAACTTTAACTCACAAACTTTTTAGCCTGATCGTGGCTGTTTCTCATAAACAGCTGTCTATTTCTTAACATATAGGGCAACACCTTTGCCCCTTCTTCCCCTGTTCTTCTAAAAAGCTTGTGGCCCTTGATAGCAGTCTTCCAGTTGTGTGACTCATCCCACTGTGTTTCCCTGGTAGTGATTAAGTGACAGATTTTGTACTGTATCATGATTTCCAGCTTCTCCTGGTTGTTTTCCTAGCTGTGTGTGTATCCTATCCGTGTAGTGACACTTCAGCAGAGCTTTTGGCCACATTGTCTTCCTAGAGCAGTCCTCCTTTATTCCTCTGAGACTATTCACAGGCATTTCCCTGCTGCTTCTTAAAGTGGCAATACTCCCTTTTTCTTCTGTGTCACTAAGAAGTACATCCCCTTCCTCTGCTGAATCAATATGGCAACTTGCTCAGAAAGTGCACTGAGCTGGGCACACACGCACCTGTGACAAACACCCACCTCTGCCCTCAGACCCTGTGGAGACTTCCAGGCTTTGGAGATCCCTGTAACTCGGGGTCTGGGCCCTGCCTACACCCCATCAACCTCTCTGGTGAGGGTTGCTGGCTCCTGGCAGCTCTCTCTTGGGTTCCTCCATGCAGGAACCCCCCTGCACAGCATGATCCCCTGTTCTGTTTTAGAATATGCATATTCTGGACTGGAGCTGATAGCTTCCACTTTATATATACTGTATAGATACAGTATACACAGAAGTTATCAAAGAAACAAATAATAAAAGCCTGCTTTTTCACTTTTGGATTAAGAATTTCAGCACTGACTTATACAGGAGTAACCAACATGATGAAAAGAGCGATCGTTTTAGTATCCATATATGCGTGGTTTAAAAGGAACTGTATAAATATATTAAACAAAGATACATATATTTAATGTCTAGGTTGCTTAACAACAGGTGACAAGTAAATTTTTTTACGGAGTGGGGAAAATTAGGGTATTTTAGAGTAAGGAAATATGTTCTGTTTTAGCAAGTTATTGTCTGTATACTCCATACTTCTAATGCCACCTCGTTGGCTAAGAAAATACTGGGACATACAGTCGATTCTTTCCCCATAACAGCCTATGGAATTTTTACCATTGACTACACGAGAAACAGACCTGAGCTCAGGTAGACTGGTTAACTGGAATCATGAAGGCAATTGTACTCATTTCCTAAAGAGGCTTCCCAAACATTTTTACACTTCTAGCACTTTTGCAAGGCTTGTGCCAGAATAGCTGAAGTCATTATGATCAAGCAGTGAGAATGGGAGGGATTCCCAGCTGGTACTGCATTAACATAGCTCACATCTGAAGTTGCACTGTTGAACAGCTGGGAAATACATTTGAAGCCAAACAGTTCCAGGCTGCAACACAACTAATCTTGGTAGGTAAAATGCCAAGTTAGGAAAGGATGCACAGCTCCTTTCTGGATTCTCAGTATGAATACCTTTTGGAGTCAGCATTTATACCAGAGTAGTTTTTTGTTGTTGTTGTTTTTTGTTTTTTTTTTAACCCAATAGGCTTTGACATGAGAAGCATCTTGTGTGAGCTGGTACAGGGACGTGTGTACTTATAGCTTTCCATATCGTAGGAGTGGACCACAGCTTCTGGGCCAGTGAACATTCTACATCAGGTCTTCTAACTTCTACTGAAATTGTTCTATTTATTTTGAATAAGTATGTATTCATTAAGGCGAGAACTGGACTCTAACCCACAGAGATTCCAGGTAAATGTCCTATTCAGGAGCTTGTATAGTCAGCCTGTGTCTGTCAATCCCAGTTTTCTATTTGGAATGCAAAGAATAGCAGTTCTAATAGCAGTTTTAGGTGACATGGTGGAACATGAGACAACTATGTACCCTTGCAGAAAACAAACAAACAAACAAACAAAACACAACAGTATCTTGGGCTGCATTAGGGTGAGTAAGCTGGCAGGTTGCAAGAGGTAAGTCTTCACCTCCACTCAACACTGTTTGGTAAAGATGACTTTCCAAGGTCCCTACCAACCATTCAGTGTTTCTGTGAAATCAACTGTAAATTCTCTTCACAAATTATGCACAACTGATATTGCAATCTAAGAAATTTTGCTCATGTTCACTTGCCTAAATTTATGTATCTAGGAGATTAGATAGTACCAGAACATGTTTTTGGAAGAAGATTTATGGAACATACATGCAAATTTTAGTGCAGTGCTGTACAGAGATATGCTTTGAGATACTGTGTGACATTAATCGTTTTTGTAAATCTGGCCATTGTGAGCTGCAGTCCAGGCACTCTCAGGTACTGAGAGTTTGCAGCTACTGTAAACAAAACAAAAAAATATTCAGGGTTGGATTTGACTTCCAGGAATTGCCAAGATTGTAGAACTTCAGAACCATTAAATTAAATATTCCTTGCTACCTTTTTTTTTTTTTTTTTTTTTTTTTTTTTCAGATCACCAGGCAACATTTCTTAACCTAGATATAAAGAATTTGTAAGTCTTGATACTTGTCTGCTCTCAAGATGAATTAAAATTTTATTTTACACTTAGAAAGACATGAATGTGTTTGCTTCTGTTGTTTACTCTGAGATGTTTTAAGCTGTAAACTGTATACTGTAGTGGACAGTCACTCCAAATATACCCTTCAGTTTGATCCCTAAGTTCTGAAAGTGCATTGTTTCAGTTTGACACTAGAAACCAAAGTGGATTTTCTTTTTGTATATTAGAATCTCTTTACACTAATAACTCTTTATTTGAATAAATTTCTGTATTTAGATTATTAATACATTATTAAAAGTTCTTTTTTTTTTAAATTTGTAAATCGTAATCATGTTCCACTTAGATAGCTGATAGTCTGTTATATCTTAGGCTGATATAGATATTGATCAAAAAGATTTTAGTGTTGCATTTGTGCAAAAAGAAAACCCCAACAATCTAAAACCCACTGCTTTTTCTTTAGATTTGTTATCTGCCACAGCCTATCATCTACCCACCAGCTCGTATTTCTAATTCCATCTCATGTTTGTGTACATATGATATGCTAGTTACATGTGTGCTAGTGCTTATGTAATGGTTCTCCAGATAGCTTTTACCTCTTGAAAATGGCATGCTATTCTCTCAGCAAAAATTGTGTTTCACTCCTCACCCAGCTTTAATAACTTGGAAAAACATAATGTCTTCCTCTGTATATTCTGACAAATTTAAATGAGACAAAACATTCAAAAGTTACTGAGAATGGACTGACAGAAACACAGCATAGTTTCAAAAATTCTTACGGCTTCAGGAAATCTGAGAAGAAACAACTGAGAGACTAAAAAGTCTGGTAGTTGTTATTATGATGAAGAAAACAGCACCTTCGGAGTAACAGTGAAATGATCTACTGACCTGTTACAGTTGAAGAAATACACTGAATTCCTGGATGCATCCATGATTTCTACTTTTTCTAGAAACCAGCCACTTGCTTTAACACAAAGGAAAAAGAAATATGTATAATATATACAAAATATATCTAAAACACAAATAAAGCACAAGGAAGGTTTCTCATTTCATTTCCAAACCTGTGTGGTTCAATACTTTTGAAAGCACCCATTATCAGGAATACAACTGAAATGTTGATAATTCAAATGAAAAACAAATTCTTATGGTTTTACAGAGGAAGTCTGTGATGATTTTGACAGAAAACATAAAGGAAATTTTTCATTACAACTTAACTCATTTTTCCACACTGAATGGAGACAGTATAAGACAAATGAAACAGTGCATGGCAATATCAGATACATTTTTGAAATCCCTTTTTACCATTCCCTATAGTCTGAAATAGAGGAGCAGACTGACAAAATGGTGTCAGACATGGAAGTGTGTGTGAAGCAAAGGTGTGTCATTGAATTCTTCCTTGTGGAAAAAATGGCACCCATTGACATTCATTGACACTTGCTGAACATTTATGGAGACCAAGATGTGGATGTGAGCACAGTGAAGCAGTGGGTAGTGTGTTTCAGGAGTGGGGATGGTGACAGTGGGTCACCTCCACTGGTGCAGATTTCTATGAGCACAGCATTCAGATTCTTGTTCATCGCTGGCGAAAATGCATAGCTGATGTGATGACAATGTTAAAAAGCAGTCTTTTGTATCTGAGAATTTGCTTTATCAAATAGTGTAATTGTGCTCTTTGTGTCTGTTGTAGAACAATTTTCATGTTCTCATTTCTCAGGTAGCAATGATTCAGAAGAGCATCTCCATTAAGGCCAATGTTTCTATCTGTCTTGACTTTAAGAAAGTATTTAACACTCTAAATACAGCCAACTATTTTGTTGGTTGAAAAAATGCCATCATTCTTGTGCTAACGCTTTTTATTTCATGCAATATTTAAACATGATTTTTTTAAATAAAGTTTTATTATACTGAAATGTAGAGATTATGCTGATGTCTTTCCGTGTGTTTGCCAATGCAAATACTTAATAACAACATTTAAAAAACTAATTAGAATCACACCAATATTGCTAGCAGCTGAAAACATTTTGGTATTCTTTGTATATCCTAGAGATTTTCATATTCACATATTTAGAGAAAAATATATATAGGCTAACAACCAAAATAATTTTATCTCTAAGTAAGCTAAAAATATAATGTAAAAATATTTTCATACTGTACCAACTTAGATGAATGTAAAGGCTTAGCAACATTTCTCAATTTCCACAGACTTTTTCAAACAAGTATCTAGAATAACTAGGTCGTAAAGGTGCCCAGGTTTTTTATCTTCAATTCACAGGAGTCATTTATTGAAATTGCGAAGTATTTTCGGAACTTCTTTAATGAAATTTTGTGAATGCTTTAATATATCATAGACTCTACTTGGAATATATGACCTTTCATGAAATCTCCGTAATTCAAAGTCAAGATTATTAGCAATAAAATTTTACAGTCTCTCAGATTTACACAGCACTTTATAAACAAATATTAAGCTACGTTTGCTCTCTTGAAAAGTTTATAAGCTTATGCTTTACTCTGTATTGACAAAATTGCAGCAGACCTCAATGAAAGCTCCAGGTATGAAGAAATCCAGAAGTAGATGGGAAAGATTAGCAAACACACATAACATTTCAAGGAGTTGCTACCTTTGCGGAAGCTTGTGCAGATAACAGCTGATGTGACAAGGGATATTTGGAAACAATTTCAGAGAAGAAAACAGAGGAAGGAAGAAATGGATTTAACATGAATTACCACACACCTGCTATGAAGGCAGTCTTTGCAATTACTACGTTTATCAAGACATAGGGAGGAAAGATAATATTGATGGTTTAGAATCCAGCAAATAGAGTTTAACCTGCATTTACTTTACAGACTTCTGTGCAACTCTCAGAGCACCAAAAGCCTGCTGATGTAGAATTCCCTGGTGTTAAACTGAATTGTATACAGCAGCTAATAGTAATAAAATGAAAGTCAGCAGGTCGATTTTATTTCAATAGAAATATTTTTTGAGTTTTCAGTACCATCACATGTTTGACATGATTGGGTAGTTAGAAAAATCCTGTTCAACTTTTGCCTAGATTTGCCACTTACAGAATTTTGCTTGGCTCATCCTAGGTATGATAAACTCTTGCCACTTTATAATAAGGGTGTTGGTTTTTTTACAACCTAAATACATTTCTTTTTATCAGATAAGTTTAGTTCACTTGACTAGAATATTTCAATACAATGAGACCTTTTTGACTCAAGCTGTACAGTAACTGGAAATTCTACTCAAATGTTTGTATCTCCATAGCTTGTTCATTGTTTTGTTTGCTTGTTTGTTAGTTTGTTTTCCATAAAACCACTAAGTGTTTTAAATATTTCACGCTGATGTCCTATCTTATGTTTTGATAAAGTTCAGGTATTAGGTATTATATGGAATACAATGTATCTGGAAACAGTTTTTGTCATCATGATTTGATTTGTACATTGTTTGATCTGATGCGCTACAGTGTTTTCCTCATAGTTTAACTTTTACAAGAAGGAAAGCCATGTGTCAAGGCAGACATGTTATTCAACACATCTAATAAAAACTTTGGCTGAGCAATGACTGAAGTATAAAACCTTCAGAGTTATGTACTAACTAGATCTCTGATAGAAAAAAAGCAAAGATAAAATCAAGGGAAATCTGACAGGAACAGGGGCAATGTAAGCAAGAGAAGTCAAACTGACTTCTGTATACAGATTCATATTAACTAGCAGTAGCAGTAGCATGTCTTCAAAGGCCTATCCAAATGTCAGGCAAGTCTTTAAGCAGAAGATTTTTTAAAAAAAAAGAAGCTTAGAGAGCACATGTAGTATACTTACCAAATCCTTTTCCATCATGACCAATTTCAATCGAACGTAGGCTTCCTAATTTTTTAGTCTTAATCTTGAACGTATCAACCTTTAATATTGAAAAACAGTTACTAAAAATAATACATAAATTTTTGAAAATGTATACCTTCATTCAGGTCAGCTTCAAATCTAAATGAAATGCAAAAATATCAATTCAAAATAGATGGATTCTCTGTTTAAACCTGAAAGCTCTGCTTTTCAACTTAAGTAGGAGAATCATTATCTCTTTCCTGACTTCCGTATAACAGAAAAGTATTTTTGCTAGATATCATGAATTTTCAACTGATGCAATGTCTTCTATAATCTTTTCAGTTTACAGTACATAAATACATGTTCAAGAAATGCAAAAAATAAAGGCTTTTACACAATGTAGCATTATATCTACCAGATAATTCATTTAAAATATTCCCTTGTTTCATATTACAGATTTATGAAAAGAAAAATAATAAGACCCCTTTTTCATAAGGCATTCCTTAAAAATGTCATTGGCTCACATTGACTTAGCAAAATTGCAAATTAGCTAGTAATGCAATTTCTGTGTATCTAATCTTTTTTCAAAGAGCAGTGATACCTTCAGTGTGCTACTAGACAAGACACTCTTTTGCTCACTCCTGCCTGTAGGTAAGTATCATAGGATCACAGAATCACAAAATGGCCAGGGTTGGAAGGGACCTCAAAGATCATGAATCTCCACCCCCTCTGACACATGCAGGGCCATCAGCCTCCACATTCAGTACTAGACCAGGCTGCCCAGGGCCCCATCCAATCTGGCCTTGAACACCTCCAAGGACGGGGCATCCATAAACTCTCTGGGCAGCCTGTTCCAGCACTTCACCACTCCCTCTGTAAAGAACTTCCCTGATATCCAACCTAAATCTTCCCTTCTTCAACTTAAAAACATTTCCCCTTGTCCTGCAGTTATCAACCCTTTCAAAGAGTTGATTCCCCTCCTCTTTGTAAGCTCCCTTTAGGTACTGAAAGGCTGCAATGAGGTCACCCCACAGCCTTCTTTTCTCCAGGCTGAACAACCCCAGATCCCTCAGCCTGTCTTCATAAGGGAGGTGCTCCAGTCCCCTGATCATCTTCGTGACCCTCCTCTAGACACTCTAACACCTCTCTGTCTTTTTTGTACTGTACAGACCTGGACACAGTCCTCCAGATGGGGCCTCACAAGAGCAGAGTAGAGGGGAGCTAAGTAGCTTTATAATCTTGTCAGTGTGAAAAACAATACCCGATAAAGATCTTTTAGAAGATATCCACAGCTATTTTTTCAGCTATTTCCTAGCTGAAAAAAAACTTGAACCAAATTGCGTGTAAAAAGATGCTCAGTACTGTTGGAAATAACAAAGTAGATTGAACAAGGAAGATATCGTAATGGAAGTTTAAATTATTAGCCACTACCTTCCAAGAAATTTAAAGGAGAAAGGTATGGGAAATGCATTTGTTTCTTGCTATATAAGGGTAACCATCATTATACTGCATTGCACAGATGATGAGGAAACAGAGGAATTCCTTTGCCAAATTAATATATTTATTAAAAAGATGTGAGCATTCTGTTGAAGAACTAGGATGTCTTGCAGAGAATCAGCACTCTTGTGGATATTTGCATCTGAAATATAAGTCTCTGGATATTCTAAATATGATGGATATCAACATCAAGTTGGCGTGTGTGGTTCCATTTTGTCTGGCTGTAGGCTTATGCATTCAGCGAGGCTCACTGCATCAGTTTCCATGGCAAAGTAAAAGGATGGGATGCAAGAGACGGATATATTCTCAAGCATAATATTCAAAGTTTGTGTAACAGCAAGGAATATTGCACATATATGTGCACATATATACGCAATGCATGTTGTGCATTTCAGAACAAGGAAATGTAACTGGGCAGATAAATGGAATCAATATGAGGATGTGTTTAGGACTATGAGAACAGCAATACAGTCAGCTAGACACAGCGGAGTAAAGTGTTCCTTGGTTACTCTGGAGAAAAGGCTAAACATAGAGATAGCTGAGACTATATCTCATGTAGTGATGAAAAAACCAGAATAAATGCTTGAAGTTTTGTAAAGCTCTCGCACAGATTTCATATTTACTTTCCCAATCTAGAAATTGGTAGAAACCTATATGCTCACCATTCCTTTTTCAAAGGGATCTTGATGCTCCAGTGACTGAGAGAGGTGAAACACTTCAGATTTGTCTTCATTCCCAAATAAAACAATATGCACATTGGCATCAGTTCCTGCCCCCATTCTGTGACCTGTGTATACTTTGATAGTATACTCTGTCTGATTTCCTTCTTGACTTTCTTCTTTATTTAAGTAATGTATGCCATTATTTGGTTTGTCTCCTCCAATAACAAAAGATACTGGGATTTCTCTCTGTATTTCTGGCTTATTTGGATCCACAGAAAAAGCTCTGCAAAACAAAACCCATAATTTTTTGTAGTAAGTAAACCATATGTTAAATAAAAAACCCTATGAGTTATATGGAGCAGTTGAAGATGGACTTTCAAAATACTATACATTGGCTCACTCACCTCATGATGGTACATTTAATCCAGTGTCTCCTTACTGTTTTCATATACTATGCTATAAAATGATTAGCTTTACGTAAGATACTTACTCATTCACTTCAAACACGTAGATAGGATGATCCCTTACAGAGTTTTTCAAATGCAATTTTGTAATGTCAAATTTGCAGTCTACAAAGAAGCAAATAAAAGATAGCTATAATGTTTTACTGCACATCTTGGAATTAGATAGAGTCTGATGATGATGCAACAGTGTCTTTCATACTACATTAAAATATAATTTGTTAAGTTATTTATAATAACAATTGTCTATAAGATCCTGGTATTGTCCCAACATCCCTTATTTCGTTCCTATTTAAAACATCTACTTAGAAACTTAGGAGTAAGCACTTTCTTTGTCTTTGTGAAGTAAAAGATTGATGTCTTCACCACACTTGGAAGGGTATGCAGAACAGATTCAGCATGACTCAGGTTCATTAGAAGAAGGAGAGTAGGAATATGTGTCTGATGTTTCCTTCTTGGTTTACAAGAGTTAGAACTCTGTTCCACAAGCAGCACAAAGATTTACTGAATGACAACTATGAAGGAAGTTCAACTTTTTGTGTATCTCTGCTATATGAGAAAAACTGCTCTTTGAATTGCAATTGTGAATTTTCTGCTGGAGGCTAGTTGTGGAGACTACTTGCTTTCTCTTTTTTTTTATATGATTTGTCCACGCAGCACTCTTAAGCAAACTGAATCCCAATGTCTTCTGGTGTAATCCAAGTCCCTTTAATTATATCAGTGGAAGTCTAATAGTATCAGGCTCTTGGAGAGGAGTTCAGGATATGGTGTAGCACTCATGACCTGCCCAGAAAGACCATGGAGACAATCAGAAGCTCAGGGATCTCAGGGACCATGCATGTAGTGAGGAAAGAGCCATCTGATCTGAAAAACTAGCTCAGATTGTGAAAATGCCATAAATAAATAAAAAAAACCCCCACACCATCTGAGTCCTGCAGGGCACATCTGAATTCATACACTAAAGAGCTTTTGGTCTTGAGGACTTTTTGTTCAAAGGGGCTATCCCCATCCTTCCCTTTCCCACTATAATAACTAGCTTCACATCATACCTCTACTGAAGCCTCCAGAGGCTGAGCAGATCATCCTGTGGTTCAGAGCATGTTGGCTACCCAATCAGTACGTACATACTTAGTGCCCAAATCTCTTTGATGATTATACACATTTTTCAAATTTGGCTGAAACTGGGTGGTGAGTTTAAAATATTACTATGAGGAGCCAACAGATAGGCTAACAAGACAGAGAAAATAGGAATGTATAACCCTTGCTTTTCAGGAAAGCCATCTGAAAATGGTCCACTGCAATACATAATAAGTAACAATTTGCAATTATGCAGCAATTTTCATTAATGGACTCGAAAATATTTTACAGGAATACTTGAAAAACATTTATAGAAAATACTCCTTAATGGCATGATTACCATCCTACAGATGAGGCACAGAGGAGTGAAAGTTTTGGTAATTTCAAAGGAATTTGGTGGCAAAACTACTGTTTGCCTAAAAGAGGTAAAATCCCCTTCATGACGTTACAGCAAGAAAACAGAACAGCCGAGGAAAACAGCAGAAATAACTATCACAGGACAACTGAACAATACCAGTTTCTTAAGTTAGAATAAGTACAGATTTCAGAACCAAGGATTTTAATGCATCAAAATGTAAGATTTTTCATTATAAAATATTATTATTTTTAAAACACAGCAAAAGTAAATTAATCACAGTGATTATGTTGCCTTTAACAGGAGGTAAGCTGTGTGATTCACATCACTAACTTCAGGGAGAAAGAAAAGTATGTTACCTTTCTTACTACTGATTACGAGAACAATTTTGTCCACTTCTCCCAGTTCAACAGCATCCATGATGACAAGAAATGACTAAAATAAAAGCATTCAATATTACAATCTTAAACCATATTTTATAACCATATTGTATCTTAAACACATTGTATTAAGTGTATAAGACCTGAAAAGCATGTATAGGAAGTACAAGAACAAATTAAATGCTAAGTTTTAGAGTAATTTAAGGTAGAGTACCTCACTGTCATCTCCCTGCTGGACATTCTGCAATGGCCAGAGAAGGGATCTGTCCCCTGTGTCGCCATGAGTACCATGTATACACGCAGTCATATGCACTACACTTCTGTCAGTCAATATATTTCTAGAAAATACTGTTAGATGATACGTAACCACTGCAATATCAAGCAGAAAGACTCATGTTAATACCATTCCACAACCTTGCCCAGCTATTTTACCACATTGCAACGTGCAGTCAGGTGAAATTAAAAATGACACTTGACAATTATAATAAAATTCAATTTTTTCCATATTTTTCCATAATTTTATCCTTTAAATGTCTTGAACACTAGTGGTTCTAACATCTTTAAATGAGAGACAAAGGATAAATTACCACAGTTATTTACCTGTTTCTTTTAAATGGCAAATGCCTAATAGATAAAATCTTAATGAGTTCCAAACTCATAAATCACTTTGCGGATCTTTGCAAAGACAAAATTTAGCTGGGGAGATAAGTTCTTCAGATTTCATCACCTAAGATATGAGGGAAAACCTTCCTGCATGTAGTTCACAACATCTGAATTCCTATTTTGAATTTCATTGTAGAGGAGTACATCCTCTGACAACAGAGTGAGCCCAAGAAGACAAATCTATCTTGACAGAAGTTGGCACTCATGAGTTTGGGCAGTTTATGATTTACACAGTGGTTATAACATTTACTTAATTGAGGACAAGATAAGAATATCTGAACACCTTTGGAAATAAATACATTCACAGAGCATCTGTTTATGTTCATTTGCATTATATTCACAGAATCAAATTATGTGAGCATTCTGAATCTTTTAATCATATATCTATCTTCTCCTTTGTATTCCTATAGACACCTCAGTGGAAGGAGATGAATCTTGGCCTTGCAGAAGGTTTCTGCAGAAAATGGCAAAAAGCTAAGATAAAGGCAGTGAGTATTTGCAGACTGCTTGCACCTTTTGGAAGTCAAGAAGACAAAGTATAGGTACAGCAAATAACAGGGTGTTGTTATCAGCTTTCAGACCTAATGCTCATCTAAATACTGTGTACAGAACAAGAACTTGCTCTTGTCTTGATTCCCCAGCATCGGTAATAGGGGAGAGAACAGACTCTTGATGCATGCATGCTGTAATTGAGCAAGCATATGGAAATAAATACAAAGTGCCAAAGAGGTATACAGTTTTATCTGGAAAGGTAAAGCTTACAAAAAGCCCAGGAGAGAGCTAAGTTTAAAACGGAAATAAAAAATTGATGCTGCCTAAGTAATAATAAATCATGGCATGGTAGGATATTGGAGAAAAGATGAAATACAATGACTGAATGGGATATGGTACTGTTTCAAAGAAGGTGAAGAATGAGGAGAAGAAAAACTATACTTAGCCAGGGATGCAATGCAATGCAATCACTAGGTCACAACACAGAAGAAAGAAATCTGGGTAATGTTATTTTTGGCTGTATCTCTGATTTTATAAGTGATCTATTTTTATTATACTTGCCCTCTGTTTTGATGCAAACTTCCAGATCTCAAACCTGAGATGTGAAGCTAGGATGGCATTCAGGAGACTCACTTTGAGGGTCAGTGTTAGGGACATCCAAGTGAGACTGTTGCATTAGGGAGGATGAGACTGGATCTGGGAGTGACCCCAGCTAAGCAGTGCCCTTCGTGTCCAGGAAACAGTCCTGCAATGTCTGTACATGGCAGACAATGCCATTAACAGTTCCAAACATGGCAAGAGATGAAATAGACCCAGAAATCATCCTGATGGTCCAATTGGGAACAACAGGGGAAAAGGACAGAGAAATGGCCAGAGACAGAACTGAACACAGGGCCATAACATAAGTTTTAAATCCATTCAGGATACAGGGCCAGAGACAGGAGTAAAAGCAAGTGTACATCTAGCATAACTCAGGTATGACTTTAAGTGATTGTCCTATGCTCATGTGCAGAAGGAGGTGGTTGGAGGCCTCAGACGAGGTTGGTCAGGGCAAATAAGATCTACAGCTTATGATGGCCTTGACTGTCTGTAGCTGACTGAAGCTTGAGTTGAACCAGACTGACAAGACTAAAGAGTGGATAGAACTGATAGATAAATTGTACAAAGAAGGACAAGGGAAGGAAACCAATGAAGGAAAGGGTAGAGGGCTAAAATGCTTTAAAAGTGTCTTTGTTCAGGTAGTGGGATCAAACAATCATATAAGTGGGCAAATGAGCTTTTATATCTGTAGTGAATATAATAGACTGGAAGGAGGAAAAATGAAAGGAAATCTCTGAAAAGAAATTACATTCAGTGGGACAAATTAATTTTATAAATTTCTGACGATTTCATCTCTGTGTGAATTATAGCTCTATTTTAATTTTGTGAAAAAAAATCTGCTTTTTCTAAGTGGCAGAATATGTTTTTATTTAATCTTTTCATCAGTTCATTGTTTTGTCTTCAAAGCTACAGTAGTGCAAAGTTCATTCACCTTCTGTACAACCATATGAATGAGGGAGAGAGCATGTCTTCATCTCTGGAGATTCTTGAGGTGTAAGCAATCTCAAAGGAAGGGACACTACAGAGGAACTATTTTGTATATACTCAGTTGGAGGCCTCTTCCTATTAATGCACCCAAAAGGCACACGTGAGCTGGTACACTGCCACTTCTCAAGGATTCGCACTGTGTTTTATCAGCTGCATTTTGATAGCTTAAAATCAGCCATTGGAATATGCTTCATCACAGTCTCAAGTACAGAATAAAAAAAAAAAGAAGAAATGAAACCAAGAAATGAAATTCTAAGGCACTATAAGAATGATGGTATACCGAGCTGCATCTGAAATTAAACAGCACACAGGTTTTAGTTAAAGTGATTATGATCAGCTGCTTTTCATTCCAATTAATGCATTACTGGTTTTCTTTCAGCTGAAAAAAAGAAAACCAAGGAGAAAATAAATTAGATTTAGAAATCTGGCAGAGAAGCATATCTGTTTTGCACTATAAATTTCAAGTAGGTTTGTTTCTAAAAGATCACTTTGAACTCCATGCAGGCCACCTGCTGTGGAGCTGCTTAAGGCTCCTGGACATAAAATGGCAAAGATCTGGGGGAATGTGTTTCACATTGTCCTAGTTTTTTTCTTCCTTGTGGTTACAAATTCCTCAATGAGGACGTCTAAAGCATATGTGGAAGGAAACACATGCAACAACAACGAACTTTTAATTTGTTTTCTCTTTTACTTAATCACATAGATCATATAATAACTACACCTTCCCTGTGTTTTTTTAACCAACCCACAGAAAATAGGGAAGTGACTTTTTTTCAGGCAAGTCAGTGATAGAGCCAGAACCAAAGTAATTAGGGCTCCAATCTCTCTGCCTATTTATCTTCCATACTGCATCTTACTGCCTGTGTTTCTGTGTGCATCTACATCTACCTTCAATACGGCTACATGAGAGTGATCTGTCTTTTGCAAGGGGAAGTCTTGTGCTTGTGCTAATCTGAAGGACTTTTTTTTTTTTCAAACCTGCTTATAGCCGACAAAAGCTGTGACACCCTACTCTGTATCTATACTGTGCAAGTCTTTTCTTCAAGTGAAAATCACAACTCTAAGCTATATAAAATATGACATTTATATTTTAATTTGCATTAATAATATGAAAAAAAGAAAAGAATCACCATTAATTCTACTGCTTGTATGCTTATAACTAGACATTTATAAACATCTCACTAAAATTGGGTCATTAGTCCAAAGAGTATTGGAGTCATTCATTTAACACCTTATCCATATCACTGAATAAGTCAGAATAACTGACTTATTCTTTACTCATTTGTTTTCTGCATGAGACTCAGACATAAATTATTTTAACATTAAATATAATTATTTGATATGTTTATTGAGAATTATTCTCTCCAATGGTAGCATTTAATGAGAATCACATTAGAAAAGTATGGAAGATATGGTAGTTTTCAGGTGAAAGGATTTCTTTTATATTGCTTAATAAAGATAACATGAAAGACAGTTGTTGGGCTAATTTTAACAGACATAAGTGTTTGGAGTGCATAAGAGTAATGATAAAACTTATGTTTATATGTCATTTTCAGCTGTTTTTTTTTTTTTTTTTGCTTGTTTTTTAATTATTTCACCAAGAATATTGGTTGGAACATACAAACAAAAAAAAAATCACTTAATAGGAAGATATAAAAATAGTAGTTCTATAAAAATCATGCTATTAATATCAGTAATATGAACGGCTGAGGACTAAACACAGAATAAAAATATTATGATGCTACAAGAAAGAAATATACCTTAACATTATTCTATATAGCTTTTAATAACAGTTCTGTATAAGCAAGTAAGTATTGCACTTCACACTTTACGATACACAGGAATTAAGCTGAGTTGATAGTATTTTCCTTAACACATTTTAAATTCTTATCCAGACTTTATGAATCATTAAATAAAGTCAATAAAATTTTCTGTTTTGATAAACTGTTATATCAAGACATGTTAACTTCTGGGACCACTCTACTACCTTTATGTATGTTCTTACCTACCAGAAAGTGCTTCTTTTAATGGCCACTCTACAGGGAATTCAATCCATCTGTCTCCATTAAGAGAAAGAGGAAGTGTTTTATTTATAGTGAGACTGAAGGTATCCAGGGTTGATGTGTTCTGCATTTTAAAGTGATGAAGAGACAAGTGTGATATGCTGCTTTCCAAACTCTGGAGTCCAAGTCTGACTTTATAAATGATACCCAAATCAGATGGTAAATTTATCTAGGAAGTAAAAAAAAAAAAAAAAAAAGCCCTGTAAGTTGCAAATGAAGATACATAGACACATGTATAACTAATTTTAAGGAAAGGGAAAGTTTCTCCTAAGGGATCAGCAATGATGTAGAATCATAGAATTGCTCAATTTGGAAAAGACCTTAAAGATCATTGAGTCTAACCATGACCTAACCATACTACCCTAACTAACAACCCTCTGCTAAATCATGTCCCTGAGCACCACATTCAAATGGTTTTTAAACACATCCAGGGATGGTGACTCAACCACCTCCCTGGGGAGCCTATTCCAGTTCTTAACAACCCTTTCTGTAAAGAAGTTTTTCCTGATATCCAACCCAAACTTACCCTGGTGCAACTTGAGGCCATTTCCCCTTGTCATGTCACCTGTCACCAGTGAGAGCGTTCCAACCCTGCTCTTACTGTAAGCACCTTTCTGATACTGGAGTAGAGCAATAAGGTCTCTCCTCAGCCTCCTTTTCCCCACACTAAACAGCCCCAGTTCCTTCAGTCACTTTATAGCTCCATTAGCATCAGTCCTGATGCAAAAATTCAATGGGTTCAAATGCAGTAGAACCAGGCTGACTGTGTAGACACTTACAGAAAAACTATCTTTGTACTCCAGGGGCATTCACTGGAATTATTCTATCAAATTCAAATTACATACTGCATTGATTTCTTAATGTAAATACTTAATGTCATGTAAATTGAGATGCATTATTAACTATGACTATTTGTTGACAGAAAAAAGAATATACTTGATCAATGTGAACTTGAAAAATAAAAAGAAAGAAATCTGGAACACAATTCAAAATTTCTTATATTTGAATATTTAAAGGATAACATCTGCAATATTTACATTATATACTATATACGTTATTATCTCTCTGCATAAGGAAACTTAAAGAAAATGCAAATACAGACAAGTCTATATACTATCTTACATCGTATGTTATTTGGTTCTTAGCTTGATGTTCCAGTTTGTTTTCCATGGAAACTGGATTTGACTTGCCGTTGCTTCCATAAAAAACCATAACCAACTTGGATATATTTTCTGACAACTTTTCAAAGTCTTTTTTTGTTTCATCGTGATGTTTTGTGAAATAAATCCTCCATCTGCCTTCTGAGCAATTAAAATAGAGAAAATAAAATGGGAAAAATAAAGATTAAAAGGTATTCCTAATTTCATATGTTAATCAAAGAACCTGATATAAAATTCATAAAATGTATCTTAGTGTACATTATTATATAAGCATTATTACATAAGCGTTTCATTTGTATGTAGATCAGCTTCCTAATATATTGATATTTCCCACTATTACAAAAGGGCAAATACTGTCACTATCATTAAATATAATGCCATATTGTGATGAAAACATTCTCCCATTATTACTTCAAAACTGATGAATGAGACAGTGGATGCAATCCCAGAAGCTGTACCTGAATTCATTTGCTCTTTTCCTAGAGGATAGGCAGAAGTGCTCTTCTGCTCTTGGATTTCTAATTAAAAAAAGAAAAAGATTGAAGACCAAATTAATAATTTTGTAAAACAGTATCCAAGTAATAATAAACGTGTGCATTCATGTCTAGTGAGGCAATTGACTAAGTACTGTATCATATAGATTAAAGATTTAATAGGAAGTGTACAATGTGATTTTCTAAGTAACATCTATACATCACCTATTTAATGAAGTGACTCTAGTGCTACCTCTTTACTGTGAAGTGGTTGTAACCTGAAGGTTCAAGTGTTTTTCACTTGAAACATTTATACAATTAATGCTGCAGACAAATCAGAACTAATGGAATATTTGTGCTGTCCTTTTTCAGGATTGCTATTCCCTCCCCTTGTCGGTTTCAGTGGATCTTGGTATAGATCAAAACTGCTTGTACACATTACAGGCTTGAACCAAAGATGGAAAGTTCTTCCAACTTCTTTCAATTAGGTTTGAATTTGCCATTTATTATATAAAATTAAATAAAACAAACAAACAAAAAAAAACCTTGAAACCTTTCTTCTACCAAATCACAGAATTACTGGAGCACAAAGTTTGGAAGGTATGACTGGAGAACATCTAGTCCAACCTCCTACTAAAGCAGATTCCCTTTTGAAGTTGAGGTTGCACAGTATAGTGTCCAGGAGGCTTTTGAATATCTCAAGAGATGAGACTCCACAACCCCTCTGGACAACCTGTTCCATGGTTCTGTCACTCTCACAGTAAAGAAGTTCTTCCTTGTGTCTCTGTGGGGCTATGTTCCAGTTTGCTCCTGTTGCTCCTTGTCTTGTTGCTGGACACCATCAAAAAGAGCCTGACCTCACCCACTTGGCACTAGGCACTCTCTATTTAGATATTTATAAGCATTGATAAGACCTCTCTCAACCTTTTCTGCTCCAGCCTGAACAAACCCTGGTCTCCCAGCCTTTCTTCATAAGGAAGATGCTCCAGGCCCCTAATCATCTCTATATCCCTCTGCTGGACTCTCTCCAGTAGTTCCCTGTATTTCTTTAACTGAGGAGCCCAGAACTGGACACAGTACTCCAGATGTGGCCTCACCAGGGCAGAACAGAGGGGAAGGATCACCTCCCTTGACCTGCTGGCCAAGGACACCACAGATCTTCTTGGCCAAGAGAGTAAACCACTGGCTGTCCACTAGGACACCCAGGCCCATCTCTGCATAGCTCCTTTCCAGCAAGTCAACCCCTAACCTGTACTGATGCATGTGGTTATTCCTTCCCAGGTGTAGGACTCTACACGTGCTCTTGTTGAACCTCATCAGGTTCCCCTCCACCCAACTCTCCAGCCTATACCAGTCTTGCTGGACGGCAGCATGGCCTTCTGGTGCTTTGACAACTCTTTCCAGCTTTCTATCACCAGCTTGCTGAGGGTCCATGGTATTCTTTCATCCAGGTCATTGAAGAAGATGTTCAATAAGACCACTCAAATCAATGTATTCTTGTAGAAATAGTAATAAATAAATAAATAAAATTTTTTGTTTTTCGTTTGTTTTAAATTTTGAGTAAAACCAAATTGTATTATATACACTAAATATGTGTTACATATACACAGTGGGAACACAAGGGGTTGTATCTAAACATAAGGAGACTTTTCTTTACTGTTGAGTTGACTGGGCACTAGTACAGATGCCCAAAGCATAGTGCTGTCTTCCTCCTTGGAGACTTTCAGTGGTAATTGCTTTCTGGGCAATCTTCTCTGGCTGGTCCCAATTGACAGCTGCCCAAAGTAAGTTCTGTTTCTGGCAAAAACTACCTTAGCACTGTGGCACAGATAATGTAAAACATTCTTCTTGGTGGCCTTTTCTCCATTGCTTATACATAATTTGCCCCACTATTTACCTCACTTTTATTATGTCTAGCAAGTGGCGGGCAGAACTATTAGCAGCTGAAAAAAGTGTTTGAAAGTGGTGAAGTGGAAGTAAAACTTGGAGGGGCAGCCTTTTGTAAAGGGAATAGGCCAAATTTATTGCCATTTACTCCACTGTAAATCTGGGTTAACAATACAGAAATTCTCCTCTGGCAAATAGTGGTTATTAAAAAAAAAAAAATGTTTCCTATATAATGACAATGCTCTACTGTGAACTATTTTAAACCATAACTTCTTTGTAGAAGCAAATCACATAGCTGCATTCTGCCATTTGGAATGAATTTTTTTAGCAAAGGATAGTTTGAGGATTGTATTAACCTGTGGCATTCAGAGTTACTGAGGCAGATCTTTTCCCATCACGTCTGTCTTTTAGCCATGTTTGAGCCATAAACAATGTTTCCGTCCCAGAAGTTGCTAATTCTTTCACAATAATCTTCTCCAGAAGCCAGTCAGAGCCTTTTCCTTTCTCAACCACTATTTCTTGCAGAGTCCCAATATCTACTGCCTCCAATTGAAAAACATCTACCTGGAAAATTCAGAATAAAAAAAAAAACATGACTACTGAAATAGAACCAAACTAAGTTAACAGAGTATTTTGAAATACAAAGGTGACAGAAAAATCAGGATTATTTTCTCCAGTAATTTAGTAAATATCAACAGAACTAGAGGTGGCAAATTTAAAGACGCAAAGCTCCTGCACCAAGCAGGACTCCATTTGTGGTTCTGCAATTTATTTCTACAACACTTCCACCTCCCCAGATGGATCGATCCATTCCTCATGCTCACCTCCAAAGAGATTTTCATTACCAAATTTAACATTTAAAAATTTACAGTGAAACCATCGTAAACACTTCTTATTTTCAGCAAAATATACCTACCTCCTAGGGCACTTTTTTGAGGAATGAAATGCAGGGAATGAGAAGAATTCAGAAATTGCATGTTATTCTCTTCAGAAAGAATGGCAAACACAGTCCCGGATTTGAATTAACATTTTTAAGATTAGTTATAACAAAATTAATTGAACTTAAGTAAAATGCTAGAAAAAGTTAAGAGTTTAAATTAGTTCTAACATTCAGTGTAGATTACAAAGTCCACAAAATTTTTTAAATATTGACAATGCCCAAGTAGGATCCCTAAAGAAAATTGAGAGATGTTATATATTAAATTTTTTTCAAAGTACATGATTTTGGCTGATTATGGGTTTTATATCTACTTGCTTAGCTGGAAAGAAGAGATTAATTTCTTGGCACAGAGACCTTTCATATGTTTTGCTTTATACATTTGTGAAAGAGTACTGCATTCCTATAAGGATTCATAACTTGTAGAATCAACTGTTATTTGCAATGATATATATAGTATTATTTAAAGAGATAAAGCTGTTTCTCAAGGTGATTGGATGACAGTAATGTTAACTGAATCATGAGAAGTCTTTGCAGCCTAATTCACTTCAAAGTTGCTTAGCCAGGACAAGATGGCAACAATCATTATGCAAAGGATCTCAGAGAGACAAGAGAGAAAAGCAGACCTCTTGCTTTGTAACTACATATCTGTGTTCTTAGTCAGGTGTTCCAGGTAAAGAACTGATGAGAGATTTGGGGCACCAACAATACCAGTTTGCAAATTAATCACAGCCACACAGACTGGCTGAAGTTGGATGAGACCTCTGGGTCTATCTGGTCCCATCCCTTACTCAAGCAGAGCATGTTGCTCAGAACCACATTCAGACTACCTTTGAAGATCTCAAAGGAGACTTTACAGCCTCTCAGGGCAACCCATGCCGATGGTCTATCACCTTCATAGCACAGAATCTGAGAATCATAGAATGGGCTGGGTTGAAAAGGCTTGCAATGATCATGTAGTTTCAATCTCCGGAAAGTTCTTCCTATGTTTCAGTTTGTGCCTATTGCCTCTTCTTCTGACACAGGGCACCCTGAGAAAAGCCTGGCTCCATATTCCTTGCACTGTTCCTTCAGGTACTTACAGGCATTGTTGAGATCCCCGTGAGCATTCTCTCTTCCGTGCCAAACAGTCCCAGGTCTCTTAGCATCTCCTCACAAGAGAGGCAGTGCACAGTATCTTGATCATATTGGTGGCCCTACACTGAACTTTTTCCAGTATGTCCATGTCTGTCTTGTATCTGTGTGTGGGGGGGAGTAGAGGAGCAGAGCCAGGCAGGACTGCACCCAGTACTCCAGCTGCACCCTCATGAACGTTAAGTAGAGTTCACCACTCTTGGTGATAATTGCTTGTAATTATTTGTCTAATGTTGCCAATAATGAGACCCACCATGAATTAAAATATTGAAGTTAAAATTGCAGATCACATTGCACACATTCAAAAAAAGATCCCCAAGCAACAAAATAACTTCAGTTCTTTCCTTCCTTTGATCCATTTTTAGTGAGATACCTTTAACTATTTTCCTCATTTTTCATTTGTGTGTGTGCGCGCGTTTGGGAACAATTGCTTTAATACTTCCCTAAAAAATAATTGCCAACCTGTTGTTGAATTACTCAGCAGCTTCTTCTAGACTGAAAAACAGTGTTATTCAAAACCAACTACACTGCATCATCTAACCATCAGGCTGTGTTGTCATATGAAAGAGGAAAATGAGAACAGCAAGCTGAAAATAATCTTAAGAAAAAAAGTGTTAAACACTTGAATTGCTGTTCTGCCTTATGATGAGGTTTTCAGCTACTTGGTGAATTTAGATTAGCAAATTCATAAGAAGGAAATTAAAGTTTTCAGGATAAAGATGTACTCCAGCAGCAAAGTGCATACACTGTAAGGACTGAAATTCTTGGTGGACTGCAGGAATGCAAGAAAAGAGCCTTCTCTTTACATTTTTCATAGTTAAGTCAAAAGAAAAAAAAAAAAAAGTAAAGTTAAATGTCAAGATCATAATTATATTTTATTACTTACTGGATTTATTTCATGACTGCACACCACTAATCTGAACTCTTAATTTTCTTTAATTGTGATATAAGCTTGATCACTTCTTTATTCTGCCTTTACCTGTACTGATAAAGATGCAGCATTATGCTCGTATAAGCATATAAATGCTTATTAAACTGTATTAAAATGTACAGAGGCGGAGCACAAGCGAAAAACACAGACAAACTTGACAAAGAAGCATACAGATTCTTGTCTCAGCTAGTAAAGCATTCTAAGTCCCCATAATCTGAAAATTTATCTTAAAAAATACTAATCTCTTCTTTACAGTTATGCTTATATTAATCCAAAATAATTATTTCATTGGAAACAGATAAAGAAGTTCTTGTCAAATTATAATCCTTGTTAAACTAGAATTCTTTTTAAGATAAGAGAGTTCTCCAAGGATGGCTAATTTAATGACACTACCACCATCACTTCCAAAAAAATCTGCTGTCAATGAACCACTTTCGGAAAGGAGAGAAGCTTACAAATGAAGAAATACACACAGAATATTCTGCAGATTTTTAAACTTGTGCTGTCTCCAAAAGTAGCCTAGTTGGGTCTGACTTGCACTAAGTTTGACAGTTACTAAATTCTATTAAACTAGAAATTTCTTCACACAGCATCAGCTAAAGAATTTGTGTACCATTCTCCCTAGTGTCCAACCAAAAGCAGATAGTAACTCAGGTGCAGTACATAATTTGGGTTACTCATAACCTGGATAATTCACCTACAGATAACAGTTTCTACATATTGTTAAAATTTGAAATATCATTTTTCCTTGGAAAAGATGTATATTTTGGCTAAATAAACATGAAAATGTCAGTTTGTTTTGCAATAGGCATACTATCTCAGCATTTTTCAACATACAGTCTCAATGTGCTCATTTTAGAGCATATAAAATCTCAGAAATTCATGCTAAAATCTGCAGAAAATTCAGCCATGTCATAAATTAAAAACTGAAAAAAAAACTATGAAGTAGACTAGGAATTTTGACAACTGAGGTAAACACATCTCACAGAAAAGTTTACATTTTGTCTTGCTGTGTATATATACAAAATGTAATGAGCTTTATTGTAGCCAAGAGCCAAAAAGAAAAAAAAAGAAGCAGCAACTATAATTGTTAGAGATAGATGACTGATTTGCCAAAGAGAATTTAGTTGCCAAATCTAATCCACTTTTCACAAGCTATCTGCAAATAGAGAGATTTCAATGTAATATTAACTAATTTAATCGTTTTTAATAATTTATTTCTGGACTCATTTCAGATGATGGACTACTCGCAAATCAGAATAAATATGCAAGCCCAACATTTGCGTAGCATTGCATCAACACGTCTTAGATGCCAGAAAATACTTCCTCTCTTTACATGATTTACAAATGAGGACTTTTTAAGTCACTGAAGGCTTAATTCTTTTGCAAAAAGAGAGAAGGAGAAAACACAGAAGATAGATAATCCTACAGGATATTAAAGCTTTAGAAACTCACCTTAGGGAAAACAGTGCTAATATTTGTTTTAGTTACTACTAGCAAATTGCATTTGAATGAAGAAGTGTCATGTTAAATATTGATAATAATACATATTTTCTAATTCAGATGGTCTTATATGGAATTTGCTCAGAATAGTCTGAGCAGAAAGATACTCCCCAAGATTGAGAAGTTGAGACAGGCAATGTGAGAGCCTGCATCATACCTAGGATAACTCCTCTTGCAAAACCTGAATTGACGCTCTTCAGATTTTTCAGGTAGGAAAATAAACACTGAATAAAAACAATCATGCCAGCAACATTTTCAAACTACTGAAAGTTTAATCGTTGCTAACTTCCTTTCAGATTGTTTCTGATTGCTTCTTTTCACCCCTGGACCTGTGTTCTGAACATTTCCTTGTCATCTATAACCCAGTTCGGCTTTATTTAGTGCTCTTCACTGTTAGTGCTAGCCACACATCAGTCTGTAGCAGTTGCAATGGCTCTTGTAACAGAAGAAACATTTCAACAAACACTATGTAATATTTACCTTTAAAAATGCCAATCATTTCATAGACTCAGTACTGAGAGCTGATGGTTGGTTAATGATGATATTCCCAGCAGAACTGCAAATGGCAAGTCAAGACACACCATATGCTTAATCTCATCAACCTTTATGCACAAGTGATTTGCTGTAATGCTAATGTTACTATCATTTTAACAGGATTTTATTGGAAAAGAAGTTAGTGTCTAGATAAAGAACCATTTCTATTAAGCTTAGAAAACTTAGTGATTTTCTGCCTGATTGTTTTGACCTCCCTTGTTAATCAGGAGATAGTCCATTGAAGTCAAAACAGTTTTAGAACTGAGAGGCAAAATAAAAGCCCCAGTAACACTGAACCTGAAACAGAAAGAGCATCTGAACAGTGTCTGAACATTCCTGTAGAAGGAAAAAAATATCCCTTTTCAGACTCAGGTTACATGTGCTATTCCAGTTATGCTGAACAGAACTACACTATCCTGTTCCAAATGTTTGCTTATTCCTACTTCTGCTTAAATGGAGATTTTCACCAGTTTAGCTTACCACCATAACCACAAAATCAGCTTGTCTCCAGCCAAATTTTAGCAA